GATTCCTGAGAATCACCGTATCCTGTAGGAAAACACACGATATCCCTGGAACATCGAAGCAGTATTCCGACGGCAAACTTTCCCAATTTTTTTCCATGATTTCCGGCGCATCTTGCCGAAAGACACAGCAAGTTGGTAGGAACTCATCAAATACATGTTGCACCAACCATCCATTCATCAGTCACAGCAATTTCGAAGCAGAGGTTTTGCCAGAAATACAAGTTAATGTTTCAGATGACAGATGGATGAATATGATCAATATCATGTTCATTTATTTTCATTGATCTAAAAAAAATATTGAAAGATCTTTAATTAATCCACCATCATATTTCAAATGAATAATCCTAACGAAAATTCTATTCACTTATTTCATCCATTTTGAGCAACACTAGATGCATTGATCGTAGTTCATTAACTATAATATGACCAATGAATAATAAGAACGTTGAAAGCGCTTGTAATGGCCCTGTTCATCTATCTTTTAATCTTATTTTGATTTTTGAATCAAAACTTATGAGTCGATCTGTTGATCGAACAACGCGTAATAAATGAAGGATCGATATAATCAGAATGTCATTCATGTATTTTCCGCCCATGTACATGAAAGATGATGCATTGTTTAGTAGATAACTGGCTATAGGCTCCTTGAATCATTCTCACCATTGTTGTGTTTATTTATCTTTCTCATTTTGCAACGAAAACTCAGTGTTGCACAAATGTATCCACGATCATATAACCAATGAATATGCATCATTGGGATTTCGTTCACTTATCCTGTCCTCTTTGAACTAAAGCATCTAAATCATATTCGATCGAAACAGATTTCATGGCATACGAACATATTTTTTCCAACAGTTTTATTCAATTTTCTTTGCAGATGACCAGAAATATGCTGGAAATTCTTGTACTCGTAGAAGATTACAATATTAAAGAATCAACATAACGCTTCCAATCGTCTTTGTTCCAACCTTCCTACTCATCGATGTTGCTTTCATCAAAACAAAAGCATCAAGTATAGGCTCTTGCAAAAGATAACACAGTAAATGACTCATGGTAATTATTGACATTGTCATGTTCACCGATCTCATTCTTTTTGCAACTAAATTGTGAACCACTAAGTACACCAAGGTTCATATGAAAATGGAAAAATTCTTATTTTGGGTGTAATGTTTATCTATTTTACATCCTTTTTTACAATTTTTTCGATTGATGAAGACGTTCGATGATCATACCATTAAAGAATTGCCACCATCCACTGCCAAGTTTGTAGACTATCTCATTCGCTTATTTTATCCACAAGAAAACAGAAATTCAAGAAAGATAAACTTATCGATAGTTGCTGATGAAATGAATGATCATGATCGCCAGTAGGTTCTATAAATTTATTTTGTCTGCATTACACTTACTATTTCGATTCGATATCTCATTGGTCCTCGCATAGTACATGACTGATTTAAATAGTACCAACGCTCGTGTTTATCTATGTTATTCACTTCACAGAAAAACTAATTGGTTGCTAAGCATAAAGAAGAAACCGTGTCAAATGAATCCTTTGAATCAGTGCTGTGTTCATTTGTGCTCTCTTTACTGCAATATTAAGATTCGAAGTTCATCTAGAAATTCAAGATCATAGTAAAAACGAATAAACACAACGGCATTTACCGCAATTGGCACAAGTGTTTGATTTCAGAATCTTGCTCCATCAGAAAGAAATCATTCTAGTTTGTAGTAGGATTGAATACTGTGTGGCAGATGAATCATGCTTATGAAAATTCTGTTCGTTTTTCTTTATGTTTTGAAAGCAAAGTAAGAAGTTCTTAAACGAATAATAATATGGCATAAGAAGTGGTTGAATAGAACGACCCTTAATTTTCTCCTCACTAATTTTTGTTCCTTCAAGTGAAAGCTCTGTTTCAATTAATTAGTGAAAAATCATAGAATACATGAATATTTATAACAAAAGTTCCTAACATCTATATCTGTCTGTTCGAAGTAAACGCTTGAAGTTATTGTGTTTATCAATGGTCACATGAGAAATGAATAATTA